CAACAATCTTAGTTTTGAATCTGAGTTAATCTGCATTGCTAGATGTCTACAATATACGATTTATGTAGCCATATTGGTACGTGAGTACTATCGAATATGTCATCTGCATACATTAAAATAATTACAGAAATTAACACCTCATTTACGTAGACGATATCACTTGAATCGTCCATATAATTAGCTAATTCATCTTCGCATACAACCTTGTATCGTACCAACAACACAATTAAAATAATCAATTATGCCGTTGTCAAAACAGAAACATGACTGTGAGTTTTAATACATAGACTTCAGTACTTATAAAACCATCTAGCCCACAACCCAGAGGATAATAGCCTATTTCAACAGGTAACCATGCTTAATTCTATCAAATGCTTCAAAAAAATGAAAATACAATCACGCTGTCATCATTACGGAAGGAATATGTCTGTGCCAAAGACTGTAATTAAATAAATTGCAAATTGTTTTATGGAATTCAGTCTGAGCTTCAACTATAAGAGTTGTTGTTTACCTGTCATGTCAAACGGCTGTTTACATATTTAGTAAACATTTACCAACATCAATGTTGAGAAAACACATATACGTTCAGTCACCACTAAACATGAATGATTGATTTGTTGTAATATTGCAATACAATATTTATTAACGTTGCAATATACTGACCAGCGCTACTATAGACTATATTATTTCTGACAAAACAAGTTTATGGTGCATTTTAGGAGCTACTTTTGCACATGTTGCCAGTATGTAGTTAATATCCATTGTAATGTAAATACATCAAGCAAGTGACAATTATTGACGAACATTACGGTTCCACAGCATCACTGACTGTTTACGATTAAGCTATAGCTCAAGTGCATCTGATGAGACTTAATAAACATTTAAATATACACTTCATCTGAGCATGGAGTACAATTTATTGCGAAATAAATAAATTCTTCATTTGTATTAATGAGTAGGCTTCTACCTTAAGTGTATGGTCAAAATATGTGTTAAAATATGCATGTGTCGCCGAGACACTTCCCTTTATTAGATACTTATGTAGCAAAATTCCTTATCTATGTCTAAATTATCACCAGAATTATAACTTTGTTTTGTATGTCATTTGCGTAATTGTTATTGTTGAAAAATGCCAAAACATTCATTTTATTCGGCATTAAACAGATTACGGTTATTTTCAGGTTTCCGAAGAAAGTTTTTGATTTTTTTATAGTATACACTGTATACTGAGTGGTCAATGCGTATTACAGTGCCTAATTACCAGTCATAACTGTAATATAGCGAGATATATACATACAACAAGTAGCATAATCATGGCATCCGACGAAAAATAAAACTAAGAATAAAATGACCATGTGTTGCGTAACTGTAATATCCCATGCACTTTAACAGAACGAGACATACAGCCAGTGTTCTAATAATATATTATTATTGCCATATATGGTCATGGGAATTCATTAATATGCATAACTGTAATAATTATACACTCTTGCATATAGAGGCATGAAGCTATTTATTCTACTGATGGGCCCGGGATCGGATACAGTGCAGTATTGAAGGCATTATATCTTTTTAACATGCATAACAAATATCCCAAACACTGTAAATAATGGGGATATACAACAAGTGTTATAATGAAGGCAATAAACAAGAGATATGACTTACATGTCAAAGGACAATTCACGTACATTGTTACGTTGTGTATGGATCGTAAATATAAAACACGAATCACGTGTTGCACACGTACAGATTTATTTATGTATTCAATTACTATCACAGTATAAACAAATAACCGCTCACATTTAGAGATAGGAATTATAGATTTATAGGTGCATTTATAACTACATATACAAATGTACGAAATTATTTCGTACTACAAGTACATGCCCCACACTTACTCGAAGAGTATCAATATGATGAATGCACAGGTGTTGTCAATTAATGATTGATACGATAGACTGTGTGATTTCATCGCTGGTACTTGGCTTCTACGGCATGTTTCTACGAAGCTCTTGCTCAAGAATTTGACCGGAAAGGAGAGTTATTGTAACCGAACCCAACATTTAACATCGAAGTCTAAAATCCAACGAAAATGGAAACCTGGTGACACAGTTGCGAAGGTGGGTTTCAATGTTTGAACTCCAGTCGCCAGTTACATGCTATTCACGTGGGTGACCAACACCAGTGTTGATGTATCGTTCTCTTAGACCATCTGTTATGGCATTTAAATCGTCAGCTGGTATCAAATTGAAATACTATAGTCAATGTAAATTTCCGAAAAATAATTTTCTAAACACGGAATACCATGTGGTTCACCCATGTTATAAATTACTAAATTTTCAACACTTCTGTATGTGGATACAAGGTAAAGGTTTCATTTGAGATTAGATATAGATCGATCAAATTCTAAATAAATTCAGGAGCGATATTGCCGACACTGAGATAACAACATTGTAATTAGAGTGAAGGAAATCGTTTATTTCACAGAGCGTTAATTGGTACTTTAGTTTACTCGGTCATCCAAGGCCCTAATTACATTGGGGGTGTATTTTTATTGCAAACAGAAATTTGCAGCGTACCGATTGCATAATGGAGACGCATGTATTTAAGATTGCATATGTCTGTGAATTGTGAAGAAAAATAACCGACTTAATCAGAGTACATAGTTGATACTACTATACGAAACAGTCTTGATTAACTAGCTAAGGTTGTGTAACATAGCTCCAAATTGTTTGTAACTACTGAGTGGCCAAGTAACTATTTTAATTAAGAATGAAAATTAAACTTGAACAACACATTAAACATGCTTCCATATATAATTATTTCAAACAATTCAATTGTTTTTATTTGTTCTAATGCTAGTGAGACTGATACTAATAATACGTATCGTTATATAGTTTTTGACAACACTTGTGAACAAAGAATAAACACACTTTTTAATTTGAACGTTGTTCATGTATTATGTATTATGTTTCTTTCTATTGGCAATACGTACACAATCGAGTGTAAATGTCTTACTACACAATCCGTTTCCCAGACCCCATTGCAAGAAACGTAATTGTTCCCGTTACCATAACACCACCAGCTATACTAAAAACCGGAACCCAGCTACCAAAATGTTTTAGTAAAATACCACTGCTATAAACACTAATAAAGCCAGGCAGAGCTGCTAAAGTGTTCATTACCCCTGAAAAATAAATAGTCTTGTAGTATATATTAAGCAAAATAAGAGTATAATTAACGCATTTGATATTCAAATCTTCACTACACTGTTTATGTCATATGTATATTATTTCGCGTTATGTTGTTATGATGACGAGCAAAGTTTATGTTAAATTCTCAAAAACGCCGTGCTGTTATTCATAAGATGTTACATAGAACTATTGTTATTAACAGCTCAGTATATCGTATGCTAATTATATGCAAAACGTTGTTAACACAATCAGTGGTAATCAGATAACAGGATTAAACTATTCTATGACAAACTGAACAAATGTGCTTACCATACAACGCACCAGTGTGATTTGGCGCCAAATCCTGTGGGTTAGAATAAGCTCCACCCGCTGTTAGTCCGTCTGCACATGCGCATGCACAAAATAAACCAAGGGCACTGACAAATGTAGTACTATATCCAATAGCAAACATACAGCTAGCATAAACAATTGCTGAGAACAACTGTAATAAATAGTAACAAGAACGTCTCAGATGTTATGAATTCACGGTGTATCTGACATTGGTGTGATTACATATTTGGTTCGAATAAAAAGTAATAGTGTATTCCATGTGATTCACTGTTATTGACCTCACGGCGATGGATTAGTTTAGCATAAATGGGATACATGTAAATAATCATTGTTTTCATGGGGTTAGTTATGTCGAACGAAACATTGACACTGTCGTAATCAAGAATATTTTACTGGTCACGTTAGATGACTAATAACAGAAAGTTTCATCTCATTAATTACTCACGTATGCAATCCCAAGTATAATTACGTGCATACATCAACTCAATGAATGTCAATCATATTGAGAATGGCGTATATAACTTACTTGAATGTATTTTCTAGCTAACGTTATCGAACAGTAGTTTGCTATAAGCCAATCAGCAATATATCCACTGGCAACGGATGATGGTGCGTGTATAGTCCAAGGCAAAACGTTGAAAACCCAACCCTGGAAAAAACAACTCTCACTCATTTAGTATTTAAAAGTTCAATACCGATCAGTGTCATATAAAACATCATATTATCGTCATCACAAGATAACATTCTTTGCTGATTCTTTTCATGATTTTTTACTAAAATTTTAATTTGTATGTGGATTAGAATGTGCAATGCACCATGAGTAAAACATTACAGTACTATTTACATGAATAATATTAATACAGTAACGTGGAATGTAAAATCCAGTATACTTATATTACCTTTTCACTAGGATATCTTTCTTCTAAGTATGCTGGGAACCAAGAATATACTAAATGCCATGTATATCCAATACATACATTACACCATACCATGCCCCTTTAAAATAAATACATAATCACGATTTATATTACTTGGGTAGTCAGACTCACAATATATTTGTCAGACTAGACGGTGAACACAATAGTGTAACCAGACCACCAGAAAGAAATGTAGTTGAGCAGACGGTAAACATCAATGTATAGTCAGACACACCAGAATGCTTTACAGAAAAGTAACACATTTCCATACTCAA